TTGAAAGAATTCACTGCAGATTCCACGTGTGAAGGGCTGATCCAGCACCGCGCTGTGCCCTTTGGAGCCATCCAGTGTGGTGGTAAACACGGGAGTAGTGACAAGTAGCAGGATCGGGACAACTCAGCAACCTTTGGTCAATATAGCTCCTAGGACAAAATTTATGGTGGCCATGCCAGCAGAAACACACCTGGAAGGCAATTCTGGAGTTAAGCCCTGAACTAGACCAAATACCTGTAATCTGGAATGAATCGCTGGCATTTTTGCCAGATTTTCCACCAGCCTCAGTGGGCTCTCTCTCAGGCTCGTAAACCACAGTTATCGGCACGTTTTGTGAGGGCACCCAACATAGAAGGAGCTAAAAAAATCTGCTAGCGATGCTACCTAGCCTAGACCTTTGAGACGAGGGCAGAGGCATGTCCCAGAAGTATGACGCTATGAGATTTACCATTTTGCTAAGCAAGGAACTTTAGCTTGAAGCTGGAAACTTATAGCTGGCCTCGGTTTAGAATAAGGAACGATGAGTGAAGATAATCGCTTTTATAGACGTTGAAATGAGCAGTCAATGCTCATCCTAGGATGGTTTGGTTTATTGTTCCTGAAAGATAAGCTAAGGAGCAAAGCAGTTTCTTCACATCGCAGCCGATGTAAGAGGGAAGCGTAGCAACCAGAGCAATGCGGTATACAAAAATGAGAACATCGAGCTCGGAGAGTCATATGGGACTGGAGCCTCAAATTCAGTGTCAGTACCTTAGAAGCAAGAAGCTCTCAGGTAGGAAAAATTCATGTGAGACATCTCAAACACAGCTCCCTGATTTGAAAGAGATCTGCACAGACCATTAACCCCAACAAGACTGTGCTGACTTGCAGTAGTTTTGTCTGAATCTGAACTGTATACACAGCAAAAAGCTTCACGCGGATTGTTGCAAAGATTGAGTGAGGTCTTTGCAGAGGAAGGGGCTGGGAGGAAGATGAGTGAGCAAGAGCATGGTGAAGACAGCAAAGTTTTAGTAAATATTAACTGATCTGTGTAGGGTGTCACAATAACCTTCTTGAAAGTGTTCTCGAACTAGTGTGTAGTACCTGGACAAAGTTATGACTGCAAGTACAAGTTATTAATGTTTGAAATGTTTTGAAGGTGATTCCGTGGCAAACATTTCCGTGAAGAACTCGAAGATGAGGGTAAGGAAGAAATCTGTTCCAGTAAGAAAAGATGTACTTTTCCTCGCCTCCAGCTTCCCTGAAAGCCTAAACTTCTTAGAAATTTTAAAGGAAAAAAAAAAGCATCAACTGTTTGTGTTTCTTGTTCTGGTAGGACCTCAACAGTGAGGCGTCCCCATCACATCCTCCTGCCTCAGCTCGTACAGACAGTGCTATGAGCGCGCCGGAAAGACCCAGAAAAAAACCCCAGCTATTTAATTTGTGCCTTTTCTAGACTTCTCCCCTTGCACACCACAAATAGCCACTGCCACTGGGTGGGATTAACACGCATGCCCATTAAACCATAGGCTCAAGCACATGGGTTTTATTTTGTTATAAGCAACTTCTTCATACTGAACTCAATCCTCCTGAGTTCTTAAAGTTTCTTGGACTATAAATTTTATAACTAGAGAGGAGCATTGAAACTTTGCTTCGCACTCCATTAATCTCCTCACTCTCCAAACAGCACAGAAGCCTTGCAGAGCATTTGTCTCAGCCAGGAGGCTTGTGTCTGTATTAGTCATGAGTTTTCTACACTTGCACCTCAATACTGGAGGCCCAGTCTCAGCTTTTGCTTCTTGGCTGTTTCAACCCATTCTGCCCCATTTTACTGCCGGATGGGCAATCTCCTGCTCACACTGACTGCGGGCTGAAGCCCCAGGGTACAAGAGAACTGCAGCCTGGTAGCATTCAGAGTTAAAACACTCAGGACAAATCAAGAGACACAATGCACAATGTCCATTTTCTCTGCTAATTCAGCTTTTTTCCCCCCAATGCCGAGTCTGACAGAAGTTTTCTCTGCTGGCTAGAGCAGAAAGGCAACGTGGCTTCCAGACAGACACCAGAGATAGAGGTTTACTTCTCTCTCTGACACCATCTTCTGCTGAGGGAGATTTAAGCCTTCACTATTTAGAATCGTAGAATGGTTTGGTTGGAAGGGACCTTCAAGACCACCCAGTTCCAGCCCCCTGCCATGGGCAGGGACACCTCCCACCAGACCAGGTTGCTCACAGCCCCATCCAGCCTGGCCTTGAACACTTCCAGGGATGGGGCAGCCACAGCTTCTCTGGGCAACCTCTGCCACTGCCTCACCACCCTCACCGGGAAGGATTTCTTCCTAATATCTCATCTCAATCTTCCCTTTTCCAGTTTAAAGCCATTCCCCCTTGTCATATCACTCCCTGCCATTGTCAAAAGCCCCTCCCCAGCTTTCTTGTCAGCCCCTTTAGGTACGGGAAGGTTGTTCTAAGGTCTCCCCGGAGCCTTCTCTTCTCCAGGCTGAACAACCCCAACTCTCTCAGCCTGTGCTCACAGCAGAGGTGCTCCAGCCCTCGGAACACACATTTAGGCTGTGTGCTCCTCAGGACTGCCTGACTACGCATTTAGACAGCTTCTAGCGCTCATCAGGACATCCCTCCTTATATAAACAAGGGAGAATAAGTATAAAGGCAGAACAACTCATCTCCCACTAAGAAGATCATGAAATTAAAACACAGCAAAGGAGGGGAAAAAAAAGTCACAAATCCCAAAACAAAGTCTGACAAACATCTTTAGTTCTACAACAAAATAAATATTTTAACTCTCATTTACCAAGAACAGTGAGACTTGGTTCAAAAAACCTATAGATATAACAACATATGCTGAATGCCACAACACTTCGATTATGTTGGTACAAGTCATGCATGAAACAGCCCAATTTATTACAAATATTCACACAGTACATCGTACAGTATAGTAATACATGCTGGGATATAGGCCACTTGCCCCGACTACACTTACTCCATCAAAACCCACTGTAAACAGCCAATCTTTATTGCTAGGGTTTAGTGATATTCGTGTGTGTTACACACTTTCTGAAGCTCCAGAAATGACTACTGCTGCTCCTTGCTATGCCTTCCAATAGCTGCGGACTCCCCTCTGCCAGCAGAGTACCCAGTTTCTGCTTAAAAGCACATTCTTCCCAAAGTGTGCTACAAAAAAAAAATCCATAGGAATTCTGGCATGTATTGTGGAGCAAGAATGAATGGATAAACATTGATAGCTGCTGTATTTTAGACAGTCCCACAGGTCCAGTTAGAACAACCGCATTCCGTTGAGTAGAAAGTGGAGTTTACCTGTGTTTACTTGTGTAACAGCACTACTTGATTATTCCTTGTACCCTCTCCTTCCTCCTCCAAAAGGTATCACTTTAGTATGTTCTTCACAAAGGAAGAAATACCATTTAGTACCCTTAAAGATCTGTCTCGAGGTATTTATAATGGAGATTAAAAAAACAGTTTCAGCCATGCCTGTTTCACAGCAGATTTTTCCACAGTTCTTCAAATAAGACATCTTTGCATACCACCAACCTCAACAGCAGTGTTACTGGAGCTTGTAGAAACATCATATATTGATCAAACTGCACAACAGACCCAGCAACAGATGACACTTTTCTTCATGCCTTCTGCTGTCTCCAGCAGTCTTTGTTTTCATTGCACGAAGATATTTTGGTTGATCAAAAATTGCAACACTGTACAAGGGATATCTTCCATCCACTGCAAGCATTCAAGAACAAGTATCTGGACACCATTTTGGGTCTTGCTACCATCTATTTATGACACTGTTACACAACCATTTCCTTAGCTAAGCTGAATCAATAAAAGGGTCAGGTGTCTGTTGAAAGGGAAAGATACAGAGGTACATTAAATGAGTGTGGGTTTTTTTAATCACAAGGATCATAGAATGGTTTCGTTAGAAGGGACCTCAAAGATCATTTAGTTCCAACCCCCCTGCCATGGGTAGGGACACCTTCCACTGGATCAGGTTGCACATCTTGCGTAACACCTTAACATTATGAAACGTCAACACCCTTTTACTTTGTTAAAATGAGCTTATAGCCTGGAGCTATATGCAAAGCCGCTTTGGGGGCTCAATCTCACATGCTTACATTTGTAAACAGATTTGTAGAAAACATTCACTGGACGGTCTTTTGGACAGGCTTTGACAGCACCTTCAATCTCCAAGTAGAGCTCGGATAGACTCCCTGTGGCCCTGGCCACCTGATGGAAGTAAGCCTTGCCCCGTGTTTTCTTTCAGTATTTCTCTGCAGTTCCACAAGCATCAAATAGGTGACATATCTGATCCGAGGCTGTTATCCTCACTGTCTTTTCCAGGCTTTTGACAACCAGTGTAATGCATTTCACACATTTACAAATGATTACATGGCTCCTGAGAGGATGCGGTTTAGGTGAAGCACTCCAAACCCACATGTATATCTTACTAAAACATAAGAACACAAGCAAGGGAGTTCATGCTAGAGCTGGTGCCATTGGCCTTACCTTTTCATAAAAACAAAACTGCGCAGGCAGCGAGGTATTCAGCTTCATCAATAAGATCAAGGAAATACTCAGATATAAAGAATCACAATGAAAGAGTTCAGACCTTGGATTCCCATCTGTGAAGCAGGCATTGTCTGAGAATTCAACAACTTCTCGTCAAATATATCCAATTCTGAACATGAGAGAGGGCCTATACCATTTACAATTGTATGAAAAAAGCAGTTTTGCTGGCAAATCCTTGTCTCCTTCCTCCACAACCCATAGAATATAGTCACTATTTTACTTCCCCTGTCAATCCTTCATTTACAAACTCAAACACCCCACAATCAATCCCAAAAGACATGCTGATTACAAGTGCTATTGTGAAATAAACTTATAATGTAACAAATTCCAAATCTCAGCGTATTGTTCAGTGAACATCTGGTGAAGCACAAATCAAATATTACAGAGTTTGTTTCTGAATTATAAAAGTATATTTTTTATGGTGAATGAACTGGTGTGGACCTTGAAAAGCAGCAGCCTCTGAAAGCAAGCTGAAGTATCTGTGAAAGGAAAGGCTCTTTGCTTGTTTAAAAAGATGCCAACAGTTACAGGAAACAGTCCTCAAGAGTCAAAGTAAAGGTTTCTTCAGTCAAATATACACTGCAAGGCTCTAATTCATATCCTTCCCTGCTACACTGCTGCAGATGATGTTATGCGCCCATTAACATGCCCATGAAATCTGATCCATTCTGAATGGTGATGGGAGCTCCAGCACTGTTGTCCACAAATATGGAGGTGTACTGGCCAGCCTGCAGAGAGAACAAGAGGGAAAGGAAAATATCTGACACTTTATCCCAGGGTAAAAGAAGGAAAAAAAGCATTTTACTACCACGAACTAAGCACAGAAGCCTCCTGCCCTTTTCTGTGGCTCCTGGGAACAGGATCTGCCCAAGCATTTTTACTGCAGCACTACAGCTTTGACTTGGTGGAAGAAATTTTCTACGGTGAAACTGTTACAGGTTTATTACCTAACTAGATCCTTACTGCATTAGCACCTTTTTGGGTCACTAGTCAAGCGGCCATCTGTCCTTCAGATTCCCTTCTATGAAATGGGAAATACAATTGCCATCTTGACAATGCAAGGGGAGATTTGAGAAAGAAAAATATTTACTGTCATTTCTTAGAGGAAAGGTTACTTCTGAGGCTTAAGATCAGCACATGCAACACAAGCCTGGCTTTTGTTCCCGTTCCTGCCACAGATTCTCTCGTCATCCCAGGTAAGGCATTTAACTTCATTAACCTTAGAAAGAAAGTTAATAAAAACTTCCCCAACTCCTGGTGAGAATTCTGCCTTGCCAGTAAATAACTCCACAGCCTGTCAAGAAAACTTGCACACTGATTCCCAGTCTGCATGGGCTTACCTGCAGCTGCAATAAGCCATGTACATAGATAGTGAAGATTTTGCTGTTACTTTCCAGACCAGCAATGACTTCCAAAGACCTAAACAGCAGCAAAAGGAAAAACAAAAAACAAAAAAACACAAACAAGTTAAACACCTAAGGCAGTCGCAACAGTTGTATGTGGAATGAGAATAGTCTCATGACCTGGTGGTTCTAGCGCCCATCTGTACTGAATAGGTGCCTGTTGACTTGATTCTAGCAGTAATCAGCTGCCTTGAAAAGAGAACAGCACTGTAGTGTCTAATGGAAGACCTACAGAGCATACAGGATTGTGAATATAAAACTCAGCTGGTGTCAGGAACTGGGAGCCACCTTCTCTCACCGAGGCCTTTCTCAAGGTCCTGTAGTCTCTGTCCCCCACCTTTGAACAGGTGCTAAATATGCCCTTTAGATTTATCTACATACCAGTTATCCCAGTTTGTTGACCACCACAATAGTATACTCCTGTTATTTTGCAAAGAGCTAACTATATGCATTCTGCCAATAACAGTTCATTCATTTTCAAGGTATGAAAGCCCTATTTCACTTTAACAATATATGTAGTCAGCCTATGCAAGAATGAACATATTCTGCAGCTGAAAGCTGTTTTGGGAGGATATTTGGATCAAGGGTCACATACAAGCCAAAACAAAAAACAAACAAAAAAAAAAAGAAATTGTGCTTCAGTTAAAATCCAAGGGAGAGCTCCAGATCACCCCTTAAGCACTATTCTTTTCCAATATCATGTTCTAATAGCCATCATACTCCTTGCAGTAGCAAGATGTAGGACAGCTGCTCTCTGTGACACCCTCTGTATACAGAACTCTAACTCTTCTCCTTTGTACAGGACTCAGGGTGGAACGAGGCGCCTGAGACATCAACAATCAGAACAACCCGTGTGAGCTTCAGTTCCAAAGCAATATGAAAGCACAGAGCTCCATGCCTGGCTGGTTCTTCTGAAATCTGCCTAGCCAGTGGTACCAGATGTAGCTGTTTTCCCAAGAAAACCAACCCCTTTCCTCCCTTTTTTCCATGAAGTGGTGGTGACGAAACCTAGCAAGCGCAAACGTGCTGTTTCCAGCCTCCTTGCAAGGAAATAATATGCATAAAAGGTAGGGGTAATTTGGCCCAGAGAGAGCAAGCCACTTGGCACCACCTTGATTGAAGAGCTCAGTCTGTGTGTCATATCCTGCCAAAATCCTAACCTGGGTGGGAACTTCCCACCATTAATCTCTTCTACTCCAACTGTCTCCTTGCCTCTGAGTTTCCATCTCTCTCAGCCGAAAGCCCTCAGGGCTCTTTCAGCTCCCTCAAATGAATGACTGTGTACACTGACATCCCCAGGAAATTCCACAAGCACGGGTGGCAGCTCAGCCTGTGCCAGCAGAATGTCTGTCCAGACAGGTTTCCATCCCTCCACCCATCTTCCTTCCATGCCACAGACCAGTTATACTCTCACCCACCATCTGAGAGAGAGTTGTCTCTCATAGAGACAGTGCTGATTCTGCTCTACTCCCACTGCTGTCCAACTCACTCAACTCAGGACCGCCACTCATAAATTGTGACCCTGGACAACCGATGAAAACTCCAAGTCAGGCATCAGAGACCTTTATCTAAACAATTAACATCTGGGTCAGTGCTGTCTAAGAAAAAAAAGGTTTTATTGTTACTGTTCTTCAGAGAATGTAGCTATAAATTCTTCAGACGGCAACTTAATCTCAAAACATGTCAATAAACCTGCCGGAGTATGTGACAAACATGTTGTTCACACATCCCAGCTAGAACCAGAAGAGTTTTCTAGGGGCTTTCAGCTAAAAAGACCTGCAATGAGGAAGGCACAGCAGTTTCCATGGCCCACAGGGAAGCTTCCTATTCAGATAAGTTTTGTGCTTGCATTTACCAGAACGAGGAAGCAAGACTAAAGTCATGTTGGAAGCAATCAGAGACCGACATCCACTCTTTACTGGAATTGACTGAATGGACAGCAAGGGAGAGAAAGAGACACAGAGAGGCAATGTCCTTGGAGACCAAAGTGAGCCTTCCAGAATAAAAACACTTTGCTTTCTCTCGGATGCCTTAATCAAATCACTTGGGAGCTTGTGGAATCATTAGGAAGAAAAACTCACCACTGTCACTTTCATTTATTTTGCAAAATGGTTTAAATGGAATTTAGATTTTCTGTATTATTCTGTAACTGAAGACAATGTAGAGTGGAGATCAGGATGGGAGAAGTTTTTCACGCTTGGAGATCAGCAGGGCCAATTTCACTTTTAAATCCTCTTAGGTGACTTCCTAAATCTCACCCACTCATTCACTCAAATCTTCACTGAAATATCATCAGGTCAACACCACCAACTGGTAATATTTTTCCACATCCCAACAGGGAATACCTTCCCACATCCCAAAAGCATGCGGAAAAAGATTCTGTGCAACTTGCGGTCTCTCTTCACGTGGAATTCAAGAGCTATGAGCATGAGTCCTGTTCTTGACAAAATTGCTAAGATAAGAGGAAATTGTTGTAGGTGAAAAGAAAAAAGCGCCAATGCTAAGGAAAGAAAAAAACCCAATTACTTGAATTCGACTAGTCTTTGCTATGCAGAGTGAAGGACAGGAATAGGGATCTGTACTGTGCAAAGGCAATTTGTGAGAGCTACTTGTAAAAAGGACAGTAACATTCTGCCGTATTCATACCTGTCCCACCCCTGTGATTAAAGGCTGGAGCTGTCACAAAAATCACTCATTATCAACACACACTCCAGATTTCAAGATCAGGCTGAGGTCCACTCTTAGCATCATCTAAAGGAATTCTCACAAATGAAATGTCCCCTATGTTCTGCAGCTTACCAGAATATAAGGTGTCCTTTCATGCACGAGGCAAGAAGTTACACCCTCCTTCTGCTGCTGACATTGTGACTGCAGCCAGTCTGTCACTGCCTCACTTTAAGTGTTGCAATCATAAAAGACTGTTATAAAACAGTCAACAAGGCCAAGGAGGTGCCAGTTGCTCCAGTCAGGAAGCTCCTTGACTTCCGATCAGGTCAGTGGGCGCACAGCTCCCCTAGTTACTAATGGGTACTCAGATACCAATCAAGTCTTTTCCACAGGCCAATGAAACTTAAGAGAGGTTTATTTATTACACAAGGTTTCATGTCAAATTCAGTCATGCCAATAAAGCCTCTAAACTGAAATACTCGTGGAGAGCTCAGTCCTATTTGCAGCACTCTGACTCGTGGAGCCAGGAAGGTGAGGGCTAAAGCAGCCAGTCCAGCAGCAAATTTATGGTTTTGTGGGTTTTAAGTCACACCTGTGGAGTTGTTTTATGGATCTGTTTCAGTGGTGCTATTGCAAGGGTGTTGCTACAGCTGCACTGGAAGAGCTGTGAGCAGCTGTGAGCTGTGGGCAGCCCTGTACAGGTATTTTTCCTCCCATGACAAGGGCTGAGCCGCAAGCAGAGGCGATGGCCACTCTGTGCAAGCAGCATTGCCCTCTGCTGGGTGCATTTCAGCCCAGTCCAGGGGCTCCCCAGCCCCTTCCTCCAAGCAAACCTTGCCAAACTTCTCCTGAGCAAGGTGGCCTTCTTCTCTGAGACACAGGGCACGCATACGCTGCAGCTGAAAGGATGACAGAAGCCCAGCAAACAAAAGGAGCCAACAGTATGCTGATGCCATGGCCCATTGCATAAGGAGCAACACCCAAGGTTGCCGTGGCTTAACCAAAGCATTTCTTTAGCAGAGTTTTGCTAATGGATCCCAACAGAGGAAAATTCAGCATGCTTATCAGAGCAAGCTTCACAAGGCAGCTGAGGGCTGTGAGAAGGTATCATATACCTATATACAAGCCCTGCGCTTTCTGCCTCAGGACTCATTCACCTCTATTTTCCACCTATTCATTCTCCTCATCACTCCGACACTTCCACAGCAACATAAGCGAGATGCTGTGATCCATTCAGGATGCAGCTGAAATTATAAAAATTGAGCTAACAACCTCTGGCATAAAATTAAGTGTTTCTCTCACTCTGTATGTTTATGATGATAGCTGAGCATTCCAGTTTCAGCCCACTTCCTTCACAATTCTCTCAACATATGCAATATTTAGTTATTTAGTGTAATTAGCACTGAAAGGTTAAAAATCAGAATAAAAAACCCACATAGAACCTAAGGGCCAGATGGAATCACTCTCTTCAGAAAAGTTCTACAAGCATTTATCGTATAAAATTCACTGTTGGTCAACCTGGTTTCCACAGTTGGTTCCAACATTGGCCCAACTGAGAAAAATAATTGCCAAGACAGCATTGCAGTAACTCACGTGTATCGGTGACACAGAGATTCAATGCAGATCAACACTCGGACATTATCTCTGGCTCGGAGTTGGACTTTACTCTTCAACTCACTGTGATCTAGGGAAAGCAGTGGAAGAAATATAAGCACTTTCACAACATAGCACACCACCAGTTGCTGGTGTTTGGCTTAACAGAGACATCAGTAACCTTGTGACTTCTGTATTGGGTTTGCATGGCAAGGTTTTGGTTGCAGGGAGAAATATCTGAGAGGAGCAGCCCTGCAGCCCCCAGGGGAGTGCAGCAGGAGGAGGAGGAGGAGCTGCAAGCCCGGAGCAGAGGTTCCCCACCAGCCCCGGGCGCCGCC